TGTATGTGGTGCTGAGGATCGAACCCGGGCCGCACGCATGCCAGGTGAGCATGCTACCGCTTGAGCCACATCCCCAGCCCCAAGCTCTTTAAGCATATTTAAGACACTTGAATTTACAAATTTGTTTAGTAAGTCCAAAGACTAGACTAACTCAGGGACTTTATGGACCTCATTTTAATTATYTCTTTAAAGACCCTATATCTAAATACAGTGACATTCTGAGGTACTTGCAGTTAGGTCTTCAACATGAATAGTTTGAGGGGATACAATTCAGCCCTTAGCATATATTATATTCAATAATAAACTATGAAAAAATGGAAGCAACAAAATATGAATAGCAGATGTTTTACCTTAAAATAAAGGATTAATGCATCAACTAKAAGAATGAGTACAGTATAAGAAAATACTTTGAGAGAGAGACCATATTTACATACTTTTTACTACAATATATTGTAATAATTGTATCACTGCATTATGGATGTGAATGCCTATGCCTAATTTATAAATTAAACTTTATTATAGATATGTATGTATAGGCAAAAATTGCATATAAAAAGATAGTTTTTATCCAGGTATTATCCATGGTTTCAGGCATCCACTGATGGTCTTAGAATGTACCCCCCCACCACTGATGGTCTTAGAATGTACCCCCCCACGGACAATGATGGACTACAGTACTCTGACTGTACTTGAAACTGATCTTGAAAAGGTAGAAAATGCAGGTATTAAGCCAACACAAACTAAAATGTCAATATTAAAAAGTGGAAATAAACACTAACCTCTGGTACCAATTTCCACATATTAAATAACAAAAACAAATACAAATGGTAAGAGAATTGGGAATCAGGTACATCTACAGTTTGGAAGGGTAGTTACAAATTTAGTCTACTCTTTATGGCAAACAATCTGCCAAAATGTTACCAAAAACATAGAAATTTTTTTTAACCTTTGTCCCAAAGAAGGGAAAATATCCCAAGACAGTAAAATCCTTTTCTAGTTTAGTTTTCTTTTCTGTTAAAATTCAGGGGTCTTGCTATGTTGCCCAACTAGCCCCAAACTCCTAGGACCAAATAATTCTCCTTCCTCAGCCCCTCAAGTAGCTGGGAATACAAGCACGTGCTTCCTTGCCTTGCACCAAGAAAGTAAAACCTTTTAAGAAATAAAAAGAGCACTGTTGTATTACTGAAATATGGGGGGGGGGGCGGATTCAAGTGGCCAACATTGCAAATAAACAAACTAGAAATATGAAGAACCATTAAAGTAAGATTAGTTAAAAGGTATTGTTCAGTAACAAAGGTTAGATGTGTGTAAGTCTCTTCCTGTCACTCCCTTGATTAAAAATCCTTCAATGTCCTCACCTAGAGTATTTATAAGGCTTTTTATCAAACTCTGGTTCCTGCTTTCTTTGCAGCCCCATTTCTCACTCATTCCCTCATTATCACTTGCTTAAATGCAGGACTATAATTTCCCTTCTATACACTACTTTAGTACAATTAATCTACATTCAAAATTCACACTAGGATCACTAAACTTTTAAATCACTAATTATTACCCTCCCCCTTGCCAAAATACTTGGTACTTCTCATACCTTCTCATGTCTCCTGCTCAGAATACCTTGCCACACCTTCTTATAATAATGAACTCCAAACAAGTCTTCCTTCCAGATACAATTCAAACAGCTGTGTTTGAACCCTTTCAGCCAAGGTTTGGACTTCTCTGAACTTCCAATTATTTTGAACAATCTAATGTAGCACTTCTCCTGCAGTAATTATTAGTTTATATGCTGCTTTCCCCCACTCACTGTACCCTCTCTAAAGGCAGAAATTATTGTAAATAACTTGTGTCTACAGAGTCTAGAATAATAAAAGCTCGATGAATGAAGTGAAATGAATGATAAATAGTAAATAAGAGTTTCAAGAAAGTGGATGTTTTCTTATATTAGGTAAACAATTTTAAAGTAAATCGTTTAAAATGAAAATGAATGTTTTAAATACAGTAATACTTTCTTTCTTTTCAGGATGCTTTTTCTTCAGATTAGGGAGGAGTTTCTTCCCAACTRTCATCACAACTAACTTGCCAAAGTCACAGAACAAAAATGCTGTGTTAGCGCCAACGTTTAGCCACAGCTGTTCTTGAAATGAGGTCCTGACTTTCCCTTTCAAGACTGCTTATTCACAAACCTAACCCAGTTCTCAAGCTTTGCATGAGACATATAAACAAAAAGGCCAGCTAGTAAGATTAGCTAAGGAAGAAACTGATCCATTCTCTTAATGAGGTGAGATGCAGACACCATTAAGAAACACTACAAAGCTATGACTTGTACACAGACAGTTCACCACATAATAATTTTATAGAAGGAAAGACTAACTTCCTRCATGGGAGTAGAAGAGGAAAAAGAAAACTCAGAATGCTGTAAATCAGGGCTTCTGAGACTTTAACAAAGTACACTTTTTCCGAGTCAGCATCCTTTTAATTCTAGCAGTAGCTGCTGAAAGGAGGGGAAATCCACCCCGTGAGAAATTAAAACAGGCCTGGAGGTTTCAATATGAAACTTCCTCTCCCGTGGTAAAAAGGAAGCCTCTCATCTTCACTGTGACACAGTGAGTCACACTATATATAAAACAAAACAGATGACACTGATTCCATAACCAAAAAGATGGAAGTGGGAGGCCAGACAACATGTTTTTCGAAAACCAAGGCTCTTGGGGTTACATCAGCATTCAGGTGCTCAGGGACACAAAACTGGAATTTTTCAAGGCAAAAGAAATTAAAACTCTGGTCCAAAGGGGAATTAAGAACTATCTGTTGRTTTCAACAGTCCTGACAAACTTTGGCTCCTTTCCCAGGACTGTGGGAAACTCCTGCAATATCCTCTCACCAGGTTTCTATTTCTCCTAAAAGCCCTGTTTAGTCATAAGTGTGCTGTCAGTGGGTTTTCTCTTTCCCTCTGCCCAATCAGAAGCGCACTTTGAGCTTGCATGATGATCCCCCCCCCCAAAAAAAAAAAAAAACGAGGCCTGGGAAGCAAGTGTTGGAATAGATCTAAGTAGCGGRCAATGGCCTAGTCTTCATTTCCATCCCAGTCATTCCGCCACTCACCTGGGAAGCCCTCTCCTCCCGCTAGAGCATCCACTCTCCTGGGTAACAAGGAGCGGCCTGGCCTCCAACGACTCCTCACTGACCCCAACTCCCACTTTCTAAGGTCCAACAGGTCCGGTTCCAGCCCCAGGGTCCCGCCTGGAGGCCTCCGCCCAGTGGGGGATCCAACCTTTCTGGGGCCTTCATTCCCGCASGCCTCACCCAAGCCTACTGTGGAAGCTCCCAAAGGGCCTCTGTGAGCCCCCTGCCTCCTTCCCCCTCCCCAGGAAACGCGGCCTCCCCTTGGGGAGGCTACAGGACAGTGGCCAGGGGACAGAGGAGAGATCCYGAGGGCACACACACTACCTCTCCTCCCCAAAGCGATTTTCTTCCCCCTGTGAAGATCAGAGCGGCAGCGGATAGCCAGCAGCGACACCAGCGGTGGGCGAGAAAAGAGTGAGCGTTGGGAGCTCCAGCTGTAACCTCCTCGCGGAAGAAGGTTCTGGAATCACAGCTGGTTGGGCATGCGCAGTGCGCACGCCACGGGCCTCTAGGAGGTCACGGGGCCAGAGCGGTGCCTGGATGCCGCCGCAAAGCCCCTTCACTCACTAATAGAGCATTTGCTGTATACTTASTGTGCCAGACTTCCAGAACTTTCTTCTGGGACGAATGCTCTTTTTCTGCAGAGAGATTAACAAAATCACTATTTGTGCTGAAGCAAACTTATCTGTCTCCATCTTATAGTTCAGCTTCTTGGGTTTTGTCTTTGTGCCTCTTTGGGGATGGGAATGACAGTCTTTGCTTTCAAATGCTACCTTTGGGGCTTGGAGAAGTGGCTGCTGCAGCACTAAAGATCAGGAGAGAGTGAGGACAGCCAGAGTCAGAGGAAGTCTCAGGCCAAATCGGGCCTGGGCTTGTGCCCCAAATGAGCCACCCTACCTGAGAAACACTGTTTTGTGGTAATGGAACCTCTGATCTTTAGCGGGTCAACCAGAATGAAGATGACATTTCTTAACTTCCCCTGCAGCTAGGTGTGGCCATGTGAATAAGTTCTGTTACCAGGGCTGTGATGGAAAATGATAGCTGCAACTTTGAGGATGAGTTTCAAAAGGAATAAGATGCCCCTTTTCAGCCTTTCTGCTATTTTGTACTTGGAAATCAGACATGGTAGCAGGTCATCTTTGCCTTGTAGATGAGGCAAGGGACCTAGAAATGGTGGCAAAGCAATAAGATAGAGGGAGCTTGGACAACCTCAGGGAAAAGAGCCTCCATACAAGTGTTGGTCCACCTCTCTGTGTCAAGGAGAAATAAGCCTCTATCTTGGCCACTGTTAATTTGGGTCTCTTACATGTATCTGAACCATAATGTTAACTGATCTATTAATTTCAAAAATAATAGGCTATAGCAGCAATGACACAAAATGAAATTACCACCAGTAGAAAATAACGTGGTCCCTGAAGAAATTAAGGTGCTTAAAGTTGCTGGATGGACAATATGAGAAAGATAATGTAGCCATGTATTATACAGAAGGCTAGGCCATAAGTAATAAGGGAATCACTTAAGTGAACTGTAATATTTCCCATCTGGAAACCACATCTCCAACTCTTACTATATAACATTAATATTTTCATTGCATAACCTGTTCTTCTCCCAGGTGAACAGCTGTGAGTTTGCTAAAGGCTGCAAGTGCTGTTGGTTTCACATCACTTTCTAAAAACTACCCATTTATGTGAAATGGAAATAAAACAAACAGAAATTCCCTTGGATCGGAGATTAGGATTTCCCCCAGCACAATCAATTTGTGGTTGGTTTAGCTTGATCTAAGGACAACATCCAATCAGAGTTTAGGAGGAAAATTGATCTCCTAAATAAATATGGTTCCACAGAGCATGTTCTCAAAAGAATTCCTCAGGTTCAAAATATATAGCAGTGACTTGGTAGAACTCCATTCCCTGACTATGAAGAAAACCGGTATTCCTTTCCTCTTGGGCCTCATCTTCCTGGTTCTGTTTGGAGTTCAAGGTAAGGGATTATGAGTTATATTACATTAGCAGAATCAGAGGTATGACTCACTATTAAGCCCTATGGGTTCATCAGATAAAGTTGAATATTCTGCATGCCCCAGAAAGTAATGTTGGTCACTCATAAAAACATCTTGGTGATGTGGTTGATTATCTGAAGATCATAACTTGGACCTGCCAAGTCAAACACAAGTCTTCTCAATTTAGGTGTGTACGTTCCTAGTTAAGTCTTAATAAATGTTTGAACATTTAATAACAAGAAGCCCTATCTCAGCGCCAAGAAATTTCTGCATATTTTATTTCCATTTCACATAAATGGGTGGTTTATAATAAGGGATGTGAAACAGCAGCACTGGCAGCTGATAATGAGATGAGAGATTCTGTTTCCTATATTGTTTTCATGTTTTTTCCTGGTATGGATTCTTGATAAATATGTCTGTGTTTTACCAATTGAGAATCGAGAAATCAGAAGATCGCCCCTAATCCATTTACTATTTTTGGTACCTTGGTTAATAGCCTTACTGGAACTCAGTTTCCATATTTGTAAAATGGTATTTTGAAGTTAATGTGTGACACAGTAAGCACTGCATAGATATATGCTGAATGAGTGTCAAAACTTTCCCAAAATTTAAAGCACTATTGAAAATCAAGCAGTGGGGAACAGAGGGGATGAGGATGGAAGTGGTAATTATAGTTAAGTAAAGCTCTCTGTTCAAACCTACATCAACTCTATTTCACCAAGGTCAGGGAATAATTGTATTTGGGAGTTCCTTAGGAAGTTGGAACCACATAATGCTAATGAATTATATGTCTGTGTGTCTTACCTATAATAGGCATTTATTAAATGTTGTGGGGGGCTGAATTTGTGGCTCAGCAGTAGAGTACTTGCCTAGTATGAGYAGGACCCTGGGTTCGATCTTCAGCACCACTTTTATATTTATAAAAATAAATATAAAAAATAAATTTATTTGAAAAAARATGTTGTGAAAGTGTCTACTCCTCTTAAAGTTGTAAGGTGATGTATTTAAAAGCAGCACCTTTGGACACAGTAGAACCTGAGCTGAAATTCTACTCGTACTCTTGCCCCCTGAAAGCTATTGTGATTGGTCTTTATTTAATCTAACTGAACCTTAACCTCCTTATCTACAAAGGGGAGAAATACCTGCTTCAAAAGTTTGTGGTTATGATCTACCGACAGCAAGTGATAGAAATAATTATGATCAAATGCATGTATCATTTTGATGGATTGCCTCAATGGGAGAATTGACCTAACACGTGCCTGTATTCCACTCTTTCTCTTTCTGATAGGAGCCCCAATAATGAGGAATGACCGTTGTTCCTGCATCAGTACTAGGCAGGGGAAAATCCACCCTAAAGCCTTAAAAGACATTAAACAATTTGCCCCAAGCCCTTCCTGTGGGAAAACTGAAATCATGTAAGTAAAAACTCATTCAATACACAGATGCCACATTGGCAAGGACATTAAATTTAGTGTGACTATTATTACTTCACAAAATGAGGGCAGTGATCTAGAAATGATGGCAAATAGAGTGCTTGCCCATGCAGACACTTAAAAGTTCAGATAGTTACCCTTTCTGTAAGTCTGTCTGCTGCTTTCTTTTTTTCTAAAAAAAAATTAAATTTCTGGTAGAGAGTGAGAACCAAGTATGATAGACTTCTGAAGTAGCACATGTTCAATGAAGAGAAGTTTGTTTTTCAAGAACAAAAATTAAATTTCATTTATTTGAGACTAATTAGGATTACAACCTGGAAAACATAGATTCAAGCAGTCTAGAAAATGGGCTCCTAGAAAATGCTTAAAGAAGACACTGACAATCACCCATAATCCTACCAGCCAGTGATAAATACTATCATATACCTTCTGGGTACATGGTATTCCAAAGCTTCCTCATTTGCTTTGGGTATATGTGTTTACACACACACACACACACACACACACACACACACTATATGTATATATATACTAATATTTTATGCATATAGATACACAAATAAAAATCAATAAAATCATGTACAACATACCATAGTTGCCCCTTATCTGCTAATTCACTTTACTCACAGTCAATCATGGTCTGAAAATATTAAGTGAAAATTTCCAGAAATAAATAGTTCATAAGTTTTAAATAATTTTTATTATAGTATATAATTATTTCATTATAGTATTATTTATTGTTAATCTCCTACTGTGCCTAATTTATGAATTAAACTTTATCATAGATAAGAATGTACAGAAAAAAACAGCATACATAGGATTCACTGCTATCTGAAGTTTCAGGCATTGGCAGAATATCTTGAAATATATCTTGAAATGAGATACATTTAGTCTAAAAATCCTTTGAACAGCTTTTTGGTCCAAACCTCCACCAACTCCATTCCATTAAGGTCCACTTAAGTTCCTAAGAAATTGGTCCACATCTCTTGAGCACCCTCAAATAGGAGTGTTTCACGCCCATTTTATTTTTTTTTAATTATTGTATTAGGTATGTTTGTGTACATTTGCTTTTATGATGCTTGTAACTTATTTTAATGCTCCTGCAAAGTCAGTGTGATATTTACTCATCCTACAGATCCCTCATCTTTGGCTGACAGCATTTTAAGACACAGCAGTGGACCAAATAAAAATTATTGCCTTTGTAGAGGTTGTTCTCCCATTGCTGTTCTTTTAAAAACCTAATTGTTATTAAACATAAATCTAATTGTTATTTTAATCCAATTATGTTATTGATCTAGGGTGCTGAGTAGGCATCTAATTAGAAAGGCCACACACCCAAAGCAGCTGCTCTGTGCACTTTGGGAGCTCTCCAGGTAGCCCTTAAAGCTTTATACTATGGATTCCAGAAACTGGCTGGTCCTTGAAATCAGTGGTATTCTATGTACTTAAAGTGTTCCCTTCCCTTATGATCAAAGCATATGATCCAGGGAACTCTACATCCTCTGCCTTTCATAAGGGTGCTTAGGGTTAGGGTCAGGCCTGGAGTTGCCTTTGGATGATTTCAGTTGGCCTGGTGACTCTTAGTTATGCCTTCAGGGTGTTCTTGCTCTGCATAAAGAGAAAATTCTGAGGAAGATGTGATTGAAGCATCAAGAGGAACAAAAATGGAATTTCACAGTTTCCCAAATGATTATGACCTGCTTTTCTGCTGCTAAGAATTTTGTCTAATAGACATTTACTTACATAAAAAGAAGTTGGTCCACATAGCACCCATGAGTATATGTATGTGTCTAACCTGTAACAGACATTTATTAAATATTGTGACACTGTTTTCCATCCTTTTGAATTGTCTTGAATTGATGGGAGACACTTAGGATAATATAATAAGATAGAGTCCCTACCTGTACAATTCCTTTACTGAACAGTTTTGCAATATGATTTTCATTAACACTATAATTATGAACATTTTCTCATGTTTATGTCTGTAAATCTTCTATAATAATTTCATTTTTTTCTTAATAATTCCTCCCCCTTTTATTTTATTCTTTGGTGCTGAGGATTGAACCCAGGGAGCATGCTTCTGTCACTGAACTATATGCCCCAGCCATAATAATGTAATTTTAATGGTCAAATTATATTACATAGAGGTGCCATAATTTATATAACCAATGCCTGCTGTTAGAAATATAGATTATTTCCAAATTTTGACTATTGCCAAATTCTTACTGTGGCAGTATTGTCTTTAATTCTTCCTATCATTGCTAGGATAAATGATATGCATATTTTAAGTTCTTTCATACCTACATTAAGAATTACATATGAAATTTCTACTATTATTTTCAGATTATACAGAGAGATGAATGAAATATCATGAAGTTATTCCTGGATGGACTGCTATAATTTTTAAAATGCAACCAAATAATCTTGTCTTTAAATTTTTAGTAATTTAAAGTAATTTCACTAGAAAATTCAGCAAAATTCATACCTATTTTTATTATTTCTACAAAAAAATCAAATTATTTACAGAGAAAAAAGAAATCTCATTGCTGTTTCTTTGGCAGTGCTACAATGAAGAACGGGAATGAAGAATGTCTAAACCCAGATTCAGGTTATGTGAAAAAACTGGTGAAGATGTGGAAAGAAAAGGTTGGTGAAAAGAAGAACAGTTTTCTATCTTTTAGAAGTTGTGGAAAACAAAGAATTCTGTGTAACTCAATGAAGGTTACAGTTTTCAACCTTTCATCCTTTTGAATTGTATTGAATTGATGGTAGACAGAAAGGATGCCAAGGTAATAAGATATAGTCCCTTCCTTCTATAGCAAGAATTAATTAGTTGTGATGCAACGCATACATATATTATCAAGGTATATATAAGAATCTTGAAKGTTGTAGAGAAAGTAGTAATTGATTTTACCAGGAGAGTGATAGGGAGAAATTATTAAGGAAGACTTCATATATCAGGTGACAATGATTTGGAGATTGAAGGGTAGGTAGCTCCCCAGGCAGCTAAGGACGGTGTGAACAAGAGTAAAATGAAGACAGAGCTTGCTGTTTTCAGGCAACCTCATGTAATAAGACTAAAGTTTATGTGGAGAGAGAAAGGTGTTGAGGTGGAAGAGTCAGTGAGGACAAAGTGGGAAGAATTCTGCATGACACGCTCAGGAGTTGGGTTTGATGAGGGACACAGAATATGTGGTGGGGAGCATTAGTTCTGTGGTCTGCCAGACTATTGACTGGCCACGTACTAGCTGTCCAACTGTTGTAGGGATAAACGAGGCAAGGCACCGAAGATAGCAGGAAACAGTTTTATTTGGCTGCAGCCAGGTTCAGAGGGTACAGCCTTTGCTGTAATCAATCAATCCCTTGAACTCTGAGTTCAGGGAGTTTCAGARTTTTATACCCAGCATGTAAGGGAGRGGCTTAGAAGTTCACAGTCTGCAGAAGTTTACATAAAAGCAGCTTTTTATTTCACTGATCTGGGCAAGTTAACTCTTCACGGATAACACCTGAGAAGGGAAGAGCTTCTTCACCCCTTTCTTTCCTCCCCCTGCCAGCTGTTACCATGGGCCCAATTGTAAATTATCTTAAAAATGTAGACTTCTCTGTGAAGCTCAGCTCAAGGCCAGAGGCCTTGTTTGCACATTTCTTCAAAGTACTATACTGGATACATTTGTGAAAAACTAGTAAGGGGGTGTCCAGCACCTAGAGTGCTGGTATCTTCTCGGCCAGTGGCCAAGTAAACAGGGTGACATGAAAATAGGAAGTTTATCTACAATGGACTCTTTTGCTGACAGTCCTAAAATYAGCCATGGTGAAGAGGGCTTTTCTGTGGAGAAAGAGGGTGCCACTTCACAACTTTGGACAAGTCATCCTCTCTTAACCTCAACCCCCTCATGTATAAAAAGTGGATGATGATATTACCAACCTCAGAGGGTTTCAGCCAAGGAAGGTGGCTGGTAAGCAAAGTTGGTGTGAGGACATCAATAAGCCAGGAGAACAAACAAAAGAAGTGAGCAAATCAGAGAATCAAAAGAGGCCCCTTGGAGAGAAGACAACTTTAAGACAGTTCTGAGAATAAAGAAAAACCACAGTCAGGAGTTTGAATATAAGGAAGGGTAATTTGTAAAATTAAAAAATATTATCCTTTCCCCCCCCCTCCCTGCAGGTCAGCCAAAAGAAAAAGCAAAAGAAAGGGGGAAAACAAAAAATGAAGACATTTTTAAAAGCTAAAGGACCCCAACGTCCTCATCAAAAGAAGACTACATAAGAGACCACTTTACCATCAAGTACTTTATGTTAAAATTTTTTTTAATTATACTGAAATAATTCCAAGAAGGGATGACCTCTAATAAAYCAGCTTGTTAGTTTGAATAGAAAATCTAAAGTACTCTTTTGAAAATGTAACTAAAGTTAGAAAGTTGATTTTAAAACCAAAATGTTAAGACTTGTTAGAGGCAATAGTTGTCTTTGTTCCTCTACCCTCAACCAACTGAATTTCATCATGTGTAAGACTATGATCTCAGTAACACCCACATCTGGACAAATATCCACACAAATACATCCCACACACAACAGCTGCCTGGGCTTCCAAGGCCACAAACTACAGCCTCTAGAGAGTATTCTGAGGTATGTGTCAGCAAGCCCCAGACCTGTCCATGTGCCAGTGAKTCATGCAGTTTGGAATTGAGCTGGACTCGCCAAGCTGCCATGGCTGTTGGCATCTGCATTTGAACCAACCTGTAGGTCTTTCACACAATGTGTCTGCTGCTTCCTTCTGAGGATCCATCACTGGCGATCACCAGAGCTTAGCTTTCAGAAACTTCTCTCTGGCTTTTGAGGTCATGTGATTCTTGCCTGCCCAAATTGACCACACCATTTCTTATCATTACCCTTCACTTTACTCAAGCCAATTCTTCACCATCTTGCCACAATTTAGTGCCTGCCTTCTCTCCACTACACAAGTCATGCACTCATTCATGAAATTCATTCACCTGGGTGTACTCCTTTCTCACTTTTCCTTCTATACTCCACAGGAATGCCTTCTTCTCCCAGCTTATCTCTACTTGATCCCAGTCTTCAAGGTTCAGTTCAAGTCCTGCCTCTTAAATAAAACCTTTCTGGAGAGTTGGGTGTATAGCTCAATGGTAGAGCAGTTGCCTAGCATACGTAACATCCTGGATTTGATCCCTAGCACTGCAAAAATAAGTAAGTGAATCTTTCAAAAAATTTTCTGGATGCTCAAATCATCATAAAACTCCTATTTCATGAGTGTTTAGTACAATATGGAAGATCRCTTAATTGTCATCTAATTAATTTCTGAATGTCTGTTTTCCCTCTCTAACCAGATTGTCAGCTCCTTGAGGGCAGAGTCACAGTTTACTTCCTTRAGTCTGCCACCACATCTAAAAGACTGTGGAGCTGGGTTTTGAATAGTTTACTAATTGTATCTGTTATAGGTAGAAAGGCAGTCAGACCATCCTCTCAGAGAAAGCAGGATGTTTCCTGGCTACTCTACTGTGTCTAACCCTGGGTAACCTCTTTTAATCATTATCTTCTGRCCATTATCACTGAAGGAAAGAAGGATGAAGTAACATCCTTGTTTATTATATAACAGGATATTAACTTGGCTTCTCTAACAAATAAGAAGCACATGTTTCAAACATTTGTGACTATTCTGGACTGTTATTCCAGAACATTCCAGATATATATGGCATCTAGAATCATGTAATCTTACAATGAAAAGCAGCTTTAGAGGTCAYGCATTGTGACTGAGGATGTAGCTCAGTGGTCAAGTGCTTGCCTAGTATGTACAAGGACTGGGGTTTTATCCCTAGCACTGAAAAACCAGAGAAAAGAAACACACACAGAGATGTTAGCCAGTGCCCAACCTTTTGCCACCAATGTGAAAATTCCTTCAATACCATTACTGACAAGTTCCAACTTTCTGTAGTTTAAAAAGACAGCTACCAAGATACTTCTAAAAACTAATTGAAGGCAAAACGAATTTCATTGCCAGGTGACCTTGTTTTAGAATTTGCAAAGTTTTGTGATTATCAATTATCACACCATCTTTCACAAAGAAAAGGAATGATAARACACTAAGAGCCAACGGGAAGAGTGAATTCTGCTAGTGGAGGCATGTTTGGTATCTAGTTAGCCTCTTCGAGGCTGGGAAATTTCTTCTGAGAGCATGTTCAGGAATTGAATAGGAGAGAATGTCTTTGGCCAGAATGTAAGCCTATACTCACCTTCCCAAATACTGTCACTCCTCATGCTGCYCGTGATTTTGAGTGCTGCCCGTGATTTTGAGTGCTGCCCAGTGGTGATCCCATCTAAACATCTTTACCTAATCATGAAACTCTGTAGGTCCTTTCATATAATTTCTCTAAAAAAATATAAAAATGTTCCATATTTTGAGTCTGTGGCCTGGTTACCTTGCACCTTACAGATAAAGTAGACAGTGTATAACTAAAAACCAAAGACTACCTATTTTCAATAAATATTTGTGATAAACATATAGTCCCATATTCTAATCATTCATCATTTATACATGCATATATACTAAGTAAATAATGTTTAAATTCAAAGTAGTATGACATAAAATACTTTGTACTTTGAAATATTTTCTTTCTTAGAAGACAATAGGATCAATAAATAGATCATTGATTGGAAAATAAATCTTGGTTTTCTTTTTCATGTCTCAAACATGCCCTTTAACAAGTTCATGCTTAATAGTAATTCTGATGTGTCCTTATTCATTTACTTTTTATTTTTTATCTAATGACATGCAATATTAATTAAAATAGACATGAACCCAGGTGTTGTGGCACACTCCTGTAACCCCCATGATTCAGGAGGCCAAGGCAGGAAGATTGCAAGTTCAAGAACAACCTGGGCAATTTAGTGAGACTGTCTCAAAACAAACAACAAGGGGCTGGGATTGTAGCTCAGTGGTAGAGTGTTTGCCTTGCATATGTGGGGCACTGGGTTTGATCCTCAGCACCACATAAATAAATAAAAGAAAGATATTGTGTCCATCTACAACTAATAAATAAATAAATAAATAAAAGGACTGAGAATGGAGCTCAGTGGTAGAGCACCCTGGGTTCAATCTCCAATAACAACAACAACAAGATAAAGACACAAAAGCTCTCTAAAAGGAGCTCTTTGGGGCTAGGGAAAAAAAAAAACTTCCATGGAAAACATGACAACATGGCCTTATGACATTGTTGACTTGTAATTTTATATGGAATTCAATTTATTTTCTAATCCTCAGGGGTAACACTATTCCAATGAGATTTAAACCCAGGAAACCAAAAATGTCTTCACCTTTTTCTAACTCCTGAAATGATACATGTTCAAGTATTATAAGGCCTCAAGTAGGTATGGAGGAAATCTAAACACCAGCTAAATTATTTAAGAAGTTAGTGCTATAGTTAAGTGTTCCCCAAAGGCCCATGTGTTAAAAGTTGCTCACCAGTTAGGTGAGGCCTACTAGGAGGAAGTTAGGACCTTAGTCCCTTCCTCCTCCTCCTCCTCCTCCTCCTCCTCCTCCTCCTCCTCCTCCTCCTCCTTCTCCTTCCCCAACCCTCACTTCCCAGCTTCCTTGAGGAGAATAGGCCTCTACTACTACGTGTCCCTGCCATGATGAACCATGACACCAAGGCCCAAAGTAATGGAATGAAAATTCTGAAACCATAAGCCAAAATAAACCTTTCCTTTTTTAAGTTGATTGTCTCAGATATTTTGTCACAGTAACAAAAGGCTGGCTAACAGCTAGGAAACCCAGGCTGGAGATATTATGCAGTACAGAGTCTCTTAGACAGACCTGTATATTTGAGGTACTTTTGAGGAGCCAGGTATCACATAACTAATRGTGAACATGAATTCTCATAATTAACCTGAGAGGCAGCAGGATGCTATGGAAAGAGCAAAGATTCTAAGGTATTGGGGTTAGGATCATAGGCCCATTACTGTGTAACTGTGTTATCTTGGTTAGGTACATTCCAACTTCCTGTGCATTGGTTTCCTCATGCAGGACTACTGTGAGGAGAAGGCTCATCATAGATCTTGGTGCATAGAAAGTAGTGGACCCTCTCTGACCACTTACTTTTGCCACACATAACTCTCAACGTGTATCACATCTCATATTACAGAGAAATGTTTCCAGGTCTAAAAAAGTATGTTGGAAAATGAAAACAGAGACCTTCCTGACCAATTCTCTGTATCTACACTTTTTTTTCCTCTCCCTTTTTTAGAAATATGGGAGTTGAACCCAGGTCTCACATATTAAGCAAGTGCTATACCTCTGAGCTACATCCCCAGCACTTTTTAAAATTTTATTTTGAGATAGAGTCATGTAAAGCTGCTAAAGCTGGCCTCCAACGTGAGTTTTTCCTGCCTCATTCTCAGAAGTAGCCACGGTGCCTGGTTTGTATTTTCATTTTCATAATCCTAGTCCAGATCATGATTATCTTTTTCCTATTATCCCTGATGCCCCCTTTTCTCAARTTTTCTCTTGCTTCCCCATCATCCATGACAGACAGGATGATCCTTTTAAAGAATACTTCAGAATCCCACCACCTTGCTTAAAATTCTACAAGTTAGAATTAAGTCAAAACTGGTAGCCTGGCTGCCAGGTGCCCTATTACATCAGCGGGGCTCTGCCTTCTTCTCCATTTTATCCCTCACTTRTGGAGCTTCAGTGTCACCTCCCTTCTATCTGTCAGACACTCTGAATTCGTTTCCTTCTTGAGCCCTTTGTATATGCTGTTCCTGTTGTGCTGGGTTGTTCCCTGCTATGTAAACTTGGTTGGGCTGGGAACTACATTTTCTAGATCCTTTTCTCCATGTGGTTCTAAGTTAGAGTTAGGCAATGAGGAACTTATGTGAAATTTGGGAAGCAGAAATGAAGGAGTGACCGTTAATCTTGATAAGACTTATTGCCCCACACAGTGGTATCCAGTAGGTCTCAGCTTATCTTCTTCCCTTCTTTTGTGTTTGGCTCACCTTCACAACTGCTGACTAGTGATCAGTAATGCTTCCAGGCCCTCCACCAGTTATTGGCAATAGACCCACAGAGGTAGGTAGTAGTTAGAAGTAGCAGCTTCTCTTAGATCATAGCATTTCCCATGTGGCAGCTGGGCAGAATCTGCTTTTTTGGATTTTCTCACAAACTTATTATCCAATTGTACAAGAGATTCTCATGGACCAGTCAGTGACCAGCCAGTCTTTCTCCAGTCCCCTGGTTCTCCCTTTTAGACTTTCAATTCCTAACACCCTCCCTCATCTGTGTAAGATCTTATTCCTATAGAACATCCTTTGTTCCTGTAACATCCATAGTGACTCTAT